AACAACTATGAAAAGTAAGCTAAGTAAGTAGTTATTAATCAGTTTTTTTAAAACGCAAACAGAGAGAAACAGCTGGTTAACAACGAAATATAAATAAACAAACTACAAAGACTGCATGACAAATTAAGGGCGAGCGATGTTTACAAATGCTATGATGTTGATTGAGTTACTGTATTACATAAACACGCCTGATTGCCTCATAATGTCAGATTCATAATGACAGACGAGCGTGTAAGCGTGTGTTCAACACAAAACTGCTCAAAACGAACAGCGGGCGCTGGATTGAGAGAAGAGGAGGAGGCGGATCTTTCACCATCTCTCGCTCGTAGGAGTTTTGGGGGAATTCAGAAAATGCAGCGCTCTGTGAGGAGATGAATTACATTACATCCCTTACAAAATTACGCTCTTTGACTGTATGCAATTTTACCAAAGAAAACGTTTGGGATGTAAAGTGACTTTTGTGTATGTGTCTTTCACCCTCGTGTGAAATATCACATCATTTGTCAGCGCTCGTGAAGCTTCAGAGACAAAAGGACTGAGGAGAAGCGTGCGAGGAACAAAATGGGGGTGGCAGTGAAACATTTGAGAAAGTCATAAAGCTGCTGACATACGGAACATATCAGAGAAATGTCAACACGACTCTTTAGCTCGTCTAAGCGTTGTGATTAGGCTATCACTGTAAAGTTTGAGATGCCAAGCAATATCAATAGTAACACTGGATGAAAACAATATAATAGTTACTTTAAATGAAGGAAACGCAAACAATATGATTTAATGTAAATACACGGTCTAAATTTTTTAGGATAAAGTGAAATAAACTTAATATAAATATTTGAATTGCATAAGAAAAGTTTGAAATATATTTTTAAACGTAAAAACACATATACACTCAATATTTATACACGAAACTGCTACACAGCCATACTCACCAAAACTATGGCAAATCTTTCTTCCAGCTCTGTTGGGTCAGGCATTGGAACTTTCAAGGGCATGATATGATGCTTCATCTCAGACTGGCCGTCCACACTCTCAATATTCCCCATATTTACTTTTATAAAGTGATGCAGGATTCAGATGCGCTGTGTCTAATTCAGTCTTTGCCTCCCGGCGTCCTTTATAAATCCAATATACATCCAATATGTGCGATCACATTCCACTTTTGTTTTGTTAAAAAAAAAAAAAAAAAAAAAGGAAAAAAGTGATCCTTTTCAGAATCAATTCCTAAATTGACGAATCTTACTTAAATAATAATGAGATCATGTAAATCATGTAAATGAATAAAAATCCACAAAGTATTACTTTGCTGTCCTCTTGAAAAGTATTGTATTGCAGATGTCTGGACAATCCATGTCAAGCAGTCAGTCCTCTTACGTTAATTCTTCTTTAACATGTTGTCCCTCTTCTCGTCTACGCTGTAGAGTTTTTGTTTATTTTGTGGGATCCCGATTAGTGCTCATCAGTGTACTCACTGCGTCCACAATGAAAGCTTTCGACATGCGAGATGCGAGTGATTCCACCCTCTAACTAGTGTACAAACTACACACGCTAGCGTAAATGAATGGCTGGGGTTTTCCGTTCTCTCTGTCGCCACCGGGCCGCGCAAACTGTAACTACAGCATTAATATTGGGAATCCATGTAGCATTTCAGTGACTTTTCATTCAGACTATTGGTGGTAGAAGTATGACAAGCCATTTTAGCTTAAATTGTATCTTGCCTTACTCTTCGTAATTGTATTTTTACTAGTAAGAATTAAGTTATAGAGCTCTACAATTCAATTCTTACCAATTACAACAATTAGAGAGCTCTCTAATTATGGCAAGCCGTTTTAGCTTAAATTGTACCCAGCCTTACTCGTCATAATTGCATTTTTACTAGTAACAATTCAATTAGAGAGCTCTACAATTCAATTCTTACTAGTAAGAAATACAATTAGCTCTCTAATTTAATTATTACTAGTAAGAATTACAATTGTAGAGCTCCCTAATTCAATTATTACTAAGAATAACAATTACAGAGCTCTAATTCAATTATTACTAGTAACAATTGCAATTAGAGAGCTCTACAAATTAATGTTTACTAGTCATATGTCTCCATTGACTTCCATTCATTTTTAATTAGAGAGCTCTAAAATCGAATTGTTAATAGTAAGAATTACAATTAGAGATCTTTAATCCAATTATATACTAACAATTATAATTAGAGAGTTCTCTAATTCAGTTTTGAATGCAATTACAGAGCTCTCTAATTTAATTTTTAGCAAAAAAACTAATTAAAGATATGTATAATTCCAGAGCTCTGTAATTGAATTAAAGAGCTCTGTAATTGCATTCTTAGTAATAACTGAATTAGAGAGCTCTACAAATATAATTGTTACTAGTAAGAATTGAATTAGAAAGCTCTGTAATTGCATTCTTACTAATAACAATTCTCTATTAGAATTGCATTCTTACTAATAACAAACCTCTAATTGAATTAAAGAGCTCTGCAATTGAGTTGTTACTGGTAAGAATTGAATTAGAGAGCTCATTAATATTAATTCTTACTAGTAACAATTGCATTAGAGAGCTCTCTAAATGAATTTCTATACGAATGCAATTGCAGAGCTCTTTAATTCAATTCAAGAGCTCTCTAATTGTAATTCTTACTATTCTTACTCTTATTTAATTATAAGAATTACATTCAGAGAGCTCTCTAATTCAATTATTACTAGTAAGAATTACAATTACAGAGCTCTCTAATTCAATTCTTACTAGTAAGAATTACAATTACAGAGCTCTCTAATTCAATTCTTACTAGTAACAATTGCAATTAAAGAGCTCTACAAATTAATTTTTACTAGTAAGAAATACAATTAGAGAGCTCTACAATTGAATTGTTACTAGTAAGAATAACAATTAGAGAGCTCTCTAATTCAATTATTAGTAAGAATTACAATTAGAGAGCTCTCCAATTCAGTTTTTACTAGTAAGAATGCAATTGCAGAGCTCTCTAATTTAATTTTTACTAGTAAAAAACGAATTAAAGATATGCATAATTGCAGAGCTCTGTAACTGAATTAAAGAGCTCTGTAATTGCATTCTTACTAGTAAAACTGAATTAGAGAGCTCTCTAATTATAATTGTTACTAGTAAGAATTGAATTAGAGAGCTCTCTAATTGGAATTGTTACTAGTAAGAATTGAATTCGAGAGCTCTGCAATTGCATTCTTACTAGTAACAATTCAATTCGAGAGCTCTCTAAATGAATTAAAGAGCTCTGCAATTGAGTTGTTACTAGTAAGAATTGAATTAGAGAGCTCAATAATATTAATTCTTACTAGTAACAATTGCATTAGAGAGCTCTCTAAATGAATTGCTACTAGTAAGAATGCAATTGAAGAGCGCTTTAATTCAATTCAAGAGCTCTCTATTGTAATTCTTACTAGTAGAAATTCAATTAGAGAGCTCTCAAATTGAATTGTTACTAGTAAGAATTTAATTAGAGAGCTCTCTAATTGCAATTGTCACTAGTCATAATTGGATTAGAGAGCTCTCTAATTGTAATTCTTACTAGTAACAATTCAATTGTAGAGCTCTCTAATTGTAATTCTTACTAGTAACAATTAAATTTGAGAGCTCTGTAATTAAAAATGAATGGAAGTCAATGGAGACATATGACTAGTAAAAATTAATTTATTGAGCTCTCTAATTGTAATTGTTACTAGTAAGAATTGAATTGGAGAGCTCTGCAATTCTATTTGTTACTAGTAATACTTGATTTAGAGAGCTCTGAAATTGTATTTTCACTAGTAAGAATTGAATTAGAGAGCTCTCTAATTGTAATTGCTACTAGTAAGAATTGAATTGTAGAGCTCTCTACATCAGTTTTTACTAGTAATAATTGCATTAAAAAGCTCTCTTAATTTAATTCTTACTAGTAAAAACTGATTTAGAGAGCTCTCTAATGTAATTCTTACTAGTAAGAATGCAATTGCAGAGCTCTGCAATTCAATTAAAGAGCTCTGCAATTATATTCTTACTAGTAAAAATCGAATTAAAGAGCTCTCTAATCGTAATTGTTATTAGTACAAATTTAATTAGAGAGCTCTATAATTGTAATTGCTACTAGTAGGAATTAAATTGTAGAGCTCTCTAATTGAATTCTTACTGGTAAAAATGCAATAATGACGAGTAAGGCTGGGTACAATTTAAGCTAAAACGGCTTGCCATATTTGTTGAGCTCTCTAATTGTAATTGTTACTAGTAATAATTGAATTAGAGAGCTCTGTAATTGAAGAGTTCAGATGCAAAAGCCTCTAAATGCCATTTGAAATTTTCTTCTTTAATGATGATTTTTGTCAAACTTGTATATTTAAGTTCAGTAATTCCACTTAAATAACAATTAATAGGAAATTATCATTGCCATTTAAGTGAAATCACTGAACTTAAATATACGAGTTTGATAAAAATGATCATTCTAGAAGAAAATTTCAAATGGCATTTAGAGGCTTTTGCATCTGAACTCTTCAATTGTATTTTCTGATTTGGAGAGCTCTCTAATTGTAATTGCTAATAGTAAGAATTGAATTGTAGAGCTCTCTAATTGAATTGTTACTAGTAACAATTGCATTAAAGAGCTCTCTAATCGAATTGCAGAGAATTCGAGAGCTCTCTAATCGTAATTGTTTTTAGTAAGAATTTAATTAGAGAGCTCCATAATTCTAATTGCTACTAGTAGGAATTAAACTGTAAAGCTCTCTAATTGAATTCTTACTTGTAAAAATGAAATTACGACGAGTGAGGTTGGGTACAATTTAAGCTAAAACGCCTTGCCATAGTAGAAGCGTACTACTACCCTAACTACTTTTTTTTTCAGATAATGGTCAAACATCGAATGCCACAACTGTCTATATAATTCTGAATATAATTACTTAACTAATTTTGAATAAAGAAATGTATAAATATTTTTTTATAAATTTACTAAATGCATGTTTAAAACATCTAACAATAAAGCACATGTCTTTTAAGTGCAAATGGCATATTTATTAAAACTGCAATACAGGAACAGAATAATAGGGTGCAGAAGCACAACATTTCAAAGTAAAAAATAAAAACATTATTCTTCTCCCTACACCTGTTTATTCAAGCGTCTTTCTCATCAGAAACTAAATCTTTACTGCAAGACACAATTCAAGCATTTTTTGTAACATTTTTGACCAACGTCTCTCAGAGACTCATTGGCACTTTAAATTGAAATATTCATGATACGTCTTGGTTCAAACATACATTCGCAAAAAAAAAAAAATTTAAAATCTTTGGGCAAGTACAGACGTTGCACAGTGATTGAAACTTTTTTGATATGTGTAAAATGATTTGTCAACTCACAAACATGAAGCAAAAATATGTGAAACAAAGATATAAAGAAGTCCTCACATAATAACTAAACAAAACGCTTTTCATGCCTGGGATTTCAAAGAGGAAACAATTAAAAATGTTCCTTTCATCCGGGCTTCTTCATAGATTTTCTTTAAAAAAAAAAAAGAAATACTGAACACTAATATTTTGTAATTTGGTTCTTCTGAAATGCATGATATGGAACGAAGCAATTGCAAAAGTATTTTTTGTTGAAATGTTGGAATGATACGTAATAAACACTAAAAATCACAGCTGAACAGAAGCTCCAACTTCCCATTGCTGCATTCTCAATGACCCATAAAGTGCAGGAGCTCATTAAAACGAAATACTTAAAAATGTAACATTTCTCCAACAAGCGGTCATGCTGACTCAAGGTGGCATCCTCGTAGCCTTCTTGTGTGAACATTCTTTATGATGGGAATCAAGCAGGCTATATTTTGGGTCAAAGCTAGTTGCACAGCAAGATACAATCTTAGTCCTTACACCGTCAAACTCAGGACACTTTGTTTTAGGAACACTCCGACCCCTGCTAGTGCCAGAATAAGTAAACATTCGTGACCTTCACTTCAAACGACTGCGAATAAAGTCAACATGGGAAGGCCATTCAGTTGGTTTCATTTGACAAGTCAAACCTGAAATTATACAAATAAGAATAGATGTAAGCAAACACTGTAATCCCAGAGTAATCTACAGTGAACAACAGTATAGCACATACCACTGTGATACTCCTGTCTTGAGATCCAGCTGACTCAAGTCTATCTGAAGCTGAAACGAAATTTAGTCATTTTAAGAGGGTCTGTATTGTTTGTGGTGGTGTTATCTAACATGTCACGTGATGAATACCTTGCCAAGAAGCTCTTTTTCACGACTCATGAAGGAAACGCTGTTCTTGACAGACACTTCAAGATGTTTCTGCTTAGCTTCTTCAAGTGGAATGTCAAAATCAAATCTGTAGGAGAGCGAGAAAGATGATTAACCTTTGACTCAGTGTGTCATCAGATAAAGATTTAACGATGTTCATACGAACCTCTCATTGAACTCAGGTTTTAGGCTTTTCTTCTTAACACTGGTCTTCCTTTTGGTGTGCCGGTTCTTGTCCGGAAGCAGAATGAATGAGATGTAAGTGTCTGGAGGATCCTTAGAATAGGACGCCAAGTTCCTGTGCAATAGTTATGAAAACAAACTGAGGAACATAACTAGTAATAAGGCTCTTTTTTTTTTTTTAAAGAAAAATTATAATTTATGTAAGATTTTTTTTTAATAATTTGTGGTGCTTGTATGATTCCTACCTGCAGGCATGGATGGTTATAACCAATCTGTTCTCCTCAGATGAGTAGGCAACAGAGAGCTTCATCTGGGCATTCACGGATGAACTGGCATCCTCACCTCTGTATTTGCATCCATAAACCAATACATACGTCAAGGTCAGTTACTTTTTTGTCTCTACCTATGAGTACTAACCTACAGTTGCAAATGAAATATAGCTCCTTTTGTCTCACCCTTGGGCGGGCACACTTCTGTGTCGGAGCTCACGATTGGCTGCAGCAGCTGCCTCTCCTCTGGGGATCACATGACTAGCATCCTCCGCATCACTACACTGTGCCAGCTTGCTGTCTAGAAGCTGATAAACAGGTACATAAAGTTTGGGGTAAGTAACATATAACATATGTAAATAATATGAAATGGTTCTTGAGCACAAAGTCAGGATCACGTGACATTGAAGACTGGAGTGATGATACTGAAAATTTAGCTTTGCCATTACAGGAATAAATTACATTTTGAAATATAGAGAAAACAGTGTTTAATATAATATAATATAATTTTTTGGTTAAATACATGCAGAATTGGTGAGCATGTGTTTAATTACATGTTGAATAGAGCACACTATATGGCAAAAAAGGTATGTGGATGTTGCTGAATATAAAGGTGTCCAGTTGCTCAGCACATTGAAAATATGTGTGATTTCTAACCTTGAGTTCAGCTCTCAAGAGAATCTGACTCTCAGGCATGGCTCCATCCAGACTAAACCAGCGGTCCAGCACCAGATCCTTCTCATTCAGCAGCTCTCTCAGTGGAAGCACAAGTGAACCCAGAGCCTGACCCCAGCTGTGAGAGAGCTACACACACCAAACTCATAAAATACACTCCAGAGCAGAACAAATTATGTCAGTATTGTCCTTCAGACATAAATGCACACATTAATATCAATATTTATTGTAAAATGCAGCTTCTCACTTTGACTACAAGTGTGTCATCTGTTGGATTATGGATCAAGAAATGAAAAGCTTCATCCCACTGTGGAGAAGTCGAGCGATTGAAAACCTAGTAGGGGGAAAATGATCCCTTGTGAGTCTTTGATATTTTAATAACATCAGCATAAATGACCCATGGTTTAAGGGGCCTTACTTTGGTCCGGTAGGATATGGTTTTGAAAGACACTTCTACTCCCACCATTGGCTCTTTCCCGCTCTTCTTTAACTGTGAACAATATTAATTTTTTTAATGCTGTGTGCTGATAATATATTAATACAGTTCATTGAAGCAAAGTCGATGCTAACTACTGGCTATGGCAAATTAAGTAGTGATGAAATAAATGTAATATATTGATGAACATAAAATGAATCTTACAGGCAGACCATGTGCTCTTTCGATATACACAAAAAGAAGTGCAACAGAGGGAACCGTTTTATTCAGGTAAGACTGACGATAGTTGTAACTTAGAATCTGAATAAAGACAAAAATCACAAACAAAATGTTAATATTTTATGAATTCAGATGACAAATAAAAGCATGTACAGTATAAACTGTTACCTGTTCAAGTCTGGTTGGGTCTGAAACTTTAGGCACCCATTCCAACACAAGGTGAAGTCGTCCAGATTTCACATCATTTAGAGTATACCACTGTATGAGGAAGCCAGCATAAATAAACAAGCATACAACCAGATATAGAAAACATTTAAAAACAAACAAACATGCACTGAGAGGCTTACCTGATCAGTAAACTGAGCACTGATGAGGTCTCTGAGACTTACTTTAACCCTGCAAGCAGATATTCAACAATACTGATATTCATCTAAAGAAGAACTGATACTCTAGATACACTAGACAAAATATTATTACACACACAACACAATCTTACCTGCCACTTTGAAACAAATCAGAGATTATAAATGAAAGCAGGATATTGCACTAAAACAATGCAGTTTAAAAGTTTAGGGTCAGTAAGTTTTTATTTATTTATTTATAGCAATTCGGTATGTGACAATGCAAATATTTATAATATTAAAAATTATATAAATGTTTAATATTACCTATTTTACTAAAAAAAAAAACACAACTGTCATGGTTTGGGTTTTGTTTCTTTGTCCTGGTTCTTGTCTGTCATGTGATCTTGCCTTGTGTTCCCCTGTCTGTTGTGTCATGTTGTCATTGGTTAACTGTTTAAATGTTCACAAGTGTCCCTTGTCTCGTCATTAGTCCAGTATGTGTTTAAGCCGTGCGCCTAGTTCAGTTTTTGTGAGTTCTTGATTTGTTTTTATGTTGCATGTTCATGAGTTCGGTTCATGAGTTCGGTTCATGAGTTCGGTTCATGAGTTCGGTTCGGTTCATGAGTCTTAGGTTGTCAAAGTTTTAGTCTTTATTTAATAAAAACACTGCTGCACTTGGATCCTGCGGTTCAGAACAACAACGTCACTGTTTTTACTGTATTTTATTATCAAATAGATGCAGACTTGGTGAGCATAAGAGACTTCTTTCAATAACATTAAACAAATATTTTCCCAACCTTAAACTTTGAACAAGTTTTTTTTCAATTATTATTTAAGAATCCATCAAATAAAACTAAACAACAGCATATTATTCTAAAAGGAGAAGAGGAAGGATGTTATCTCACCTGCCAAGAAAGTCATCCTGGTCAATGTCTTTATCATAAAGCTCAAACTCCACCTCCTGACCAGGGAGCGGGGTCAAGATCACCTACAGTACAAGCAGGCAGAGATGAAAATAAATGTTTGAACATGCATGCAGCAGTGGAGGAATGAAGCAGAAATCAAGATGGAATCCTTCTGTTTTGAGAAAGAAGCCATATGCCTTCATGTTACACACAAAACAAATCAGCATGAATACCTCATAAAGTTCGTTCCAGGTGGGGTTGAGGTTCTCTTTGATGACCTGACTCTTGAAGGCTATTCCTCCCACTCGGATCTTCACATACGGGTCACTCTTTCCCTTTACCATGCCACCCATTAAATTGTCCTTAGCGATAAGACTCTGGGCTTCCACCAAGTGGATCCGCAGAACACCCTATATTGACAATTACAAATATTGATAACATCAAGTCTGTATTTTTATTTATTTATTTATTTTTTCAAATTCTACACTTCTCTAAAGGCTCACCTCAGAAGCAAAATTGCTGTCTGGACTAGTGTGCTCGGGACGTTTTAAAGTAGGGGTCACATTTGTTACCCCTGGAGATACTTCTGTTTCAACATCTCCATCTCCGGGTAATGGAGACACAGGTGTGGTAAGGATGGCTTCTTCATTTAGCCACAACACCTGAAACCAACGTCACAGAACTCCTGCATTATGTGTGCTTAAAGTTTTTAATCATAAAAAAAATCAATCAATCCTACCCTCAGCATAACTGTGATGTAGATACGGCTGGCCGGTCCAGACTTTTCTAGCTGAAACCACTGATCCATAGAGAGCTCAGCGCTGGAGAGCAAACGGGACATGGGGATGGACAGAGTACCCAGAGTCAAAGCCCTGTCATCATCTTTCACCTGGAACAGGTGGAAGCAAAGATAAACAAAATTACAGTGAAGAAATGGGAGTTAACATAAACATATACAATTAAAGTGCCCCTTTTATGCTGTTTTAAAGGTTCCTGATTTTGTTTTGGAATCTCCCACAATAGGTTTATATGCATCCGAGGTCAAAAAAATGCTTTAATTTTCTCATTGCACAGCAGTATCATCGTTTTTCTCGCAGTGACTGAAACAGATCAGTGAACGATTCGGCCTCTCCAAACCCCTTCTTTCGGAGAGTCTACTCTGCTCTGATTGGTCAAACGGCCCAGTCTGTTGTGATTGGACGCCTATTACCATATCCGATCGAACAGCACAAAGAAGCGTCTTCTCGAATGCCTCAGCTTCGACTACAGTGTTTGAGGGATCATCAGAGTAGAAGTTGTTCACGGACATACAATGAATTAAGCAGATTTATTACAAACTCTATTTATTGTTCACTTTGATCTTTGAAACTTTGCAGACATTTTACGGGCACTTTAAATAAGCACTTATAAGAATATTATTGACATTACATCATTAAAAACCATATTTAACAATATTTTACTATCACAGTAACTATACCAACTGTACCTGGACGTCAATATCTTGTTTGCGTGGGTCCTGAATGAAAAACGTAAAGGCATCTTCCCATACAGGATTATTAGTCCCATACACCGTCTGGATTATTAATAATGAGAGAATATATTTAATAGCGTGAATAAATATGCCATAAATGTTCACATGTGATGTATAATAAGAGCGATGACACCATACCCTGCTCTCTTTGGTGGTATCCTGCACAGAAACCTGCACCATGGGGCTGGGGTCCTTGTTACCTTTTTTAAACTGAATAGAAATGCATTGTACTGAATAACGCCAACATCTAAAGCACTCCTTAAACAAAACAATAGCTGTTGAAAGAAGGACAAAAGCGGTTCAGGATACAAACTTACAGGTAGATCTTGTGCCCGGTCCAGATAAACAGTTAAAATGGCAGCAGAAGGAGGATCTGCTGTCTTACCAGATATCGTAATGTTTTTATTCCTCTCTAGCACCTGTATTTAATAAAAGGTTTAGTGTGGGATTGAAAGGAGCAGGGCAGCAAATACACTGTTTTTTACAGTCTATCAGGTAAGATCTTACTTCATTAAGGCGCTCTGCAGAGGGCAGCAGAGAGAGCCATTCTAGCTTGAGATGAACCTGACCAGATGTTGCGTCCTTTAAAGTGTGCCACTAAAACCACAGAGAAAAAGCATTACATTAGTATTATAAACAATACAGACTGCACTGCTGAAAGGGTGGTGAAATAAATAGGATCAATAATGGAAAGATTTCAAGAAAAACATCTAAAATTATATATATATGAAAGAAAGTCAGTGTAAAAGATGTACCTCATCTAATAGAACTGCTTTCTTTACAATACCTAAATCCAGCTTCATTCTAAAAAGAAAGTAATTCAGAGATGGGAACACAAAAAATAGGAAAGCATAGTTATTGTATCAATAAAGATTAATAAAATACGAAATCAAAATGATGATATATAAGGAATATATATATATATATATATAATTAGTTTATTTATAATAATATTAAGCATGTTTAGATCATATTTTGATCATTTTATATTAATTATAAAATATGCATATATATGAAGAGTTCAGATGCAAAAGCCTCTAAGTGCCATTTGAAATTTTCTTCTAAAATGATCATTTTTATCAAGCTTGTATATTTAAGTTCAGTAATTTCACTTAAATGGCAATGAAGATTACCTATTAATTGTCATTTAAGTGAAATTACTGAACTTAAATATACAAGCTTGATAAAAATGGTCATTTTAGAAGAAAATTTCAAATGGCATTTAGAGGCTTTTGCATCTGAACTCTTCATATATATATTATTGTAATTAATCTGTAATATAAAACAATACCTCCCAAGAAAGTCATCCTGGTCAGGGTCTTTATCAAACACTTCCAGCTCTAGCTCCTGACCAGGTACTTCATGAACAATCACCTGACAAACACACAAACATATAAAATATGATAAACAGTATTGATCAATTAACATGCTGACATCTTTATGATTAGGAACAAACAATCTTGTAGCTGTTTTCTCTGAGCTTGTGCCTTTGCTCATCTGATCTCAGCACATGATAGTCACATCCTGCACTATCTACATGTTGTTAGTAGCTTGAAAACCACAGCTTCCTTTTACTCAGAAATTAGACACTTTTTTAAGCTCATAAACCACACTGATCACATGATACCCATACACATCTCTCTCTGACCTCGTACATCTCTCTCCACTGAGGATTAAGGTTATTGTCCACGTGGTGAGAAGTAAAGGTCTGGGTTCCCACCCGTAGCACTGCATATGGATCAGACTTGCCAGATATCACCCCTTTCATGAAGTTATCTTTGGCGGCAAGGTTTTCTGCCTCCAGCAAGTGGATACGCACAATACCCTGTTGGAAAACACAAAACAAGTGTAAGCAGAGTGTATGAAGAGTGTCTAATTTAGCATATGTCATTATGTAAATGAGAAACACGCCCTTGCAATTCAACATTATGAAGCAGCTACACACTAGACAAGCATGCGTGATGATACTATGGAGTATTAAAGTACATTCAATGGATCATGAATAGTTCAAATAAAGCGGTTAATATAGTTAAATACTCCATTAGAGCACAGTGAAGTGTTACCCGTGGGAGAGGGGAACGCAGCTGTGCTACGTGCAGGTTGGCCACCAAAGGCACAGTTAGACGATTGGGGAGAACCAGGAAAGAGGCGATAGCATCCATTATCATAGTGTCCGACATGGCACTGAAAATGAATGCAAGGGGTTCGTACAGAGGATGGAACACAAACAAAGTACATTTCAAATATTTGACAGCATAGCTTCAGGGTGATTATAATGGGTTAAGCTATGATCTATATGAATGACTGCATGTTTCCCTGCTTAATTTGAATAGAGGGAAGCAGACTGAATAATCAGACCAGTGCTCAACTGATTATCATTGAATGAAGCATATGAGAAGAAAGAGTTAACGTATTAACAGGTCCAGTGGAGTTGTGGTGTATCTGAATCATAAAGCCAAAAGACAACGATGATACAAAACAAATGCACTCACTTCAAACCAGGTATGTCTAACAAATTGGTAAGGCCAGTCCAATTGATGTCAAGTGTCTATGGGGAAATGAAGTAGAAAAAAAGACTGTTGTAAAATGGGGTTATTATGATGTGATATAGTAATATAAATGGAAAATTCTTGACTAACAGGTCTGCGAATGAAGAACATGGTGACGGCTCCAACAAGAGGAACATCTCCAATTAGAGGTTCCAAGATCACCCTCAATTTTCCATGGAGCTGTAGAAGGAGGGGTACTGGTTTCAGTCAATGAGTCTTTGATCAGTTATCTTTGAGGGGTCCCACTGTCCTCTTCCTTACCTGAATGCCTTTCACTCCAGCTTTACAGAAGTACTTCTTCACCTCAACGTTAATCTCCACATCTCCAGCATAACTGCAAAACAGACAAAAAGTTTGAAATATGGCTGAAAGTTTCACACGCCAAGACTATTTTTTGGCCCAAAAGGTCTTGTGATGTTCCACATGAGAGGCGTACACTTTAATATCACACAGCAAGGAAATTATAAAAATATTTCAATTTAGTCAGAACAGATCGCTTCATGGGCATTCATATATATATAATTTAAATGAAAAATAATCATAATATTTTTAACAATATAGTTTTTGAATATAATCAATATTTTATAAAAAATAATTTTATTTAAAAATAAAATAAAATAGTTTATAAAGAATGCAATGAAATAAGATGCAGTCAAGACTCCAAAGTTGAGAACCTGTTTGCTAAGAAAGAGACCAAAGACACTACCTGATGTAAAGATCCAGTATCACCTGACGCTTATCATGCTCAGTGTAGGCCTTCACCCCAACTACCTTCAGAGGCTGTTAAAAAAAACAAAACAAAAAACAATACATGATACAATTATGTTTAAACATCTTAGTCAACGGTCTGTGCTTAAAACAAAATATCTCTGCTGGACAGCAATTATGAGAAATGTAAATATGAGAAACGCATGCAAATAACTTTTATCAGAAACAGATTTGTATACCCTGTCGCCCAAGTCAACTTTGGTGAAGCTGAGAGTTTGCAGATGAGCGCTGGCGGCTCGGATCGAAGGGGCAATAGTCTCCACCAGCAGCTTTTCCAGATATTGTCCAATAAACGGCCAGGCCTGCTGCAATATCTATGAGCCAGGATAGTTACAAACAATAAGAACTAGTGGAGACTCACAAAGATGACAAGTCAATGAAGACATTTTTGCTGACAGGAATATTATATAAATATGTAATGGGATATCATTTACTCTATGATGTAAACAAACATTATATCCTTACATTTGTTGAAACGATTCAAATTTTTCAGTCAAACCTCAGACGGAAACCATATAAACCCCCTTAGAGCATCTATTTTCTATATCAGACTGCTGCATTCAATAAACTCATTCCTGTTTAGATTGAGTATCAATAAAACTAGATTGATTGTCTATACATTGGTACAAAAAATTCACAGCAAAAATATGGTTAAATCAACATCACAAAACCTGTATCATAACAGACTCACATATAGGGTGTTTGCAAATGTCATCAATTCAAGTAATGTGTAAGAGTAGTGTGTGTTTGTAGTGAGCTTTGAAAGCACATCCCACAATCCAAACTCCCATTCTCACTATCCAAACTTAAAGGGTTATTTGAGGCAAACCTTTGAAGCCTGAATCCTGACAACAAGTCTGGTGTGCAAGAATAATCTGTGAAATGTCTGTCCTGGTACTCTGAAAGCTCTTATATGTGAACAGACTAATTAAATCAGTATTAATTATTTTTGTCTGTGGGTCCTTTATTCTAAAATAAGATCTATATTACACCAGTGACAACAGAAACACCACTAACTTAATAGACATTACACAGACTGGAGAGCTGCCTAACCGTTCAACTATTTACCTTCAGGCACTAAATTTGAAAACATACACAGAGTGACAGTGCCCTCGGGGACACAGAGCGGCTGCGGTCACATGCACATTGTGTTTTTGAACAGAGTTTAATACCTTATTAATCCATTCAACCTTTTCCACGTCAGGGAAGTTTACCTGTGGAAAAACAAGGAGTACACTTTGACTTCCGATGTCAACACAGGCTGTATAACAGATTGGTTTTACATGCTGTATGCAAGGAGACCTCTTATGTTGTACAGTGTACACTGTAAGTAAATACTGTGAAGGTCGGGAGCTGTTGTTAACAAAACACAGCCTTTTCCAGGGAAGAGATCAGCTGTGCATACACCGTAATATTAAGTTCTGTCGATTCTTGAAAATACTGTCATTCTTGCACACTTGTAAATGTTTAACAAATTATATATGGCAATGGTGGATCATAATAGTAAGCAGATAGAATCATTAGCGAGCATGTATAAAGTATAGTGTGTTTATATTCAGTGGCAAAGGAAACCTTGATTAAAGGTCATCTCTGACTTCATATTAAATGTTTAACTGTAAATAAGTAACACATTTAAATAAATACAATTAAATAATAAAGGTAAAAAAACTATTTTAATCCTTGATCTTCTATATAAGTGATTCCCAACCAGGAACTTTGAGACATACGTTTTTTAATATCTAGAAATATATATAATATGCATTAAAAAATAAAGACACTGGAAAAGGGAGGATTAATATATACAGTATGTAATACATATTTAAAGACACCAGTGCTCTTTAAATTAAACACATAATTTCTAATAGGATGTGGGTAGGTTTACTCAAAAAAAAGGAAAAAAAAAAAAGCATTAGTTAAATAAAGCCACAAGCTACTGAGGTACGTGAGGAAAGTGGCACCACTGTTTCTCTGAGCCAAGGTCAAACTTCTCCAAACAATTTTCAACTTCTTCATGTTTCCTGTCACCCCCTCACCAAATTCTTGCTACAAATGGCTCGTTTTGCCCTTTTACTGCTGGTGACTCAGTCCCATGAGATTGGATACTTCAATGTTCCAAATATAGCAAAGGCTGGTCTGACTTAGGAATGTAATGACGTTGATGAGGGTAAGGAGAAGAGATAAGAATATAAACTTGAACTGTATCAGAGAGGAATGCTTATGAAAGGGGCACAACTGTAAAAAAAATTAATTTTTCAGAAGTGGCTGAAAGCAGGTCTCACCATGACGTTGTTCTAATGCAGGATTATGCATTCTGTTGCAATACTGTTATAAACACAGCACCAAAACTATGAATTCAATGCAAAACAAAAATTCAACAAACCTTTTGTATGAGTGAAGGCGATGTCCACTAATATCACTAGTAACAACTACTTTTTTCCCTGTCATATGTAGACCAGTCAGCTATTTAGCTACTTTATGATTCAATTAATAATCTTACTAGTAAGAATAACATGTTACTACTACAAGCTGCAATACACATTAATAGTGCCTAATACACAGGCAGCCGTCTGTATTAAATTACTGCTAGGAAACCTGGAATATACCAACAACTATTTTGTTATAACTAACTAAAAGCTAAGTACTGTCACCCAGTTATTAGTAAAACTGAAATAAGTAGGCCTACTACCAGCAACTGGAATGTATATGGCGAGAAGTGGATTAATATCTGAACAGGCCCTCATTAAAATTCAGTGGTAAATGCTAACTAGTTAATGGGATAGTGACTATATTAGTAGCCTATGTACTAGTAGTATACTAATGAATATCTTCCTAGAATGTATATGTCAGAAGGGAATAGTTTATATAAGAATTACAGATTTAAAATTCAGTGGTAAATGCATTTGGTTAGCAGCAGTTCAAAATGGGATATTCACATGTTAATAGGATAGTAACCAGTTACAAATGTACTACCAGGTAACTTATACGTTTTAGTGACTAATTTAATAGATACTAGTCACTTTTGGAACAAGTAATAATCAATAGTTAAATTGTGAAATAGGAAAAGATCCTCTAACTAGTCCTGGTAACCAGTGGTGGAGGAAGTACTGAATCTCAGTAGGCTACTTAAGTAAAAGTACAAATAAACAGATAAATATTTACTTTAGTAAAAGTAGAAGTAACACAATGACAACCATACTTAAGTAAAAAGTAAAAAGTACCTGATTTTAAATGTACTTTAAGTATTAAAAGTAAAAGTACTTGCATAACAATTTATTCTCTTAATGTCTATTTTTTTCTAATGATTAATAAAACATTTAATCCTAAATCGTTCCACCTAATACTCATATAATGATGTTCAATAATTATGGGAAAAAAAATTGTTGTCACCATTTCTGAGACAAGCTTGCAATTAGGCAATATGCACATCATGCTTATCCTTATATTAATAACTATGTTTGGCAGTAAACGCGACTAATTTATGGTGTAATTCTCAACCTCTTGGCTTGCCATAATCCTAACCAAACGTATATTACACATGGTGCGTTTCCTATGCACATAAAAACAAATTTTCGCGTATAAATTGCACGATAAACACACTGCGTGCGAGACGCATTTAGTGTGACCGAGGTTGATATATCTATGGCAACCAAACGTCACTGGTGAGACAAACGTGCAATGAACGGATGGTCAGATTACGTTTTGGCAGGGGAAAAACTGATCACAAAAATGTAGTGGAGTAGAAAGTATAATAATTGCTGCAAAATGTAACAAAGTAAAAGTAAAAAGTATGCACTATTTATTCTGTAAAGTAAAGATACGTGAAAAATGTACTTAAGTAAAGTAACAAAGTATTTGTACTTCGTTACATTCCACCACTGCTGGTAACTACTGGATTAGCTACTTAGTAATAACAAAAAAATATGTACCAGTAGCCTAAAAAATGCTTAGGAAATATCTATAAATTGCATAAAATGTGTAATTATGAGGGTAAACATTCACGGGTTGAAGAATTGTTGTCATAACTAACAAAAGTGTAAAAGTAGGGGAACTTTATTAAAATCATAACACCAGTAACACGAAATCAGTCTGTCAGTGCCACAGAGTAGCCTACCCATTCACTTCTAACGCTTGTTGTAAAAACAAATAGGCCAAATAGCAAGAAATTACATGATAAATAGGTACTGTCTTTCTCTTTGCGCAAAGATTTTGCATTTGTTGCAGACTGCGTTGGTAAACGGGTGACAACTAGTCCAGAATGATACCAATTATGGTACAAAAACACTTAACTTACCCATGCCGGTAAGTCCCGTTTACTTCGAAACACCCGTGTAGGGATTACATCCTGCTCATTCTCCAAAAGATACATTGCGCTTAACAATCGCGCTTGTTTTCCATCGCGACCGTGTTTCCATCCTGTGTAAACCAGAAGACCGAGTAAAACTAAAAAGATGCTGAATCCGAAATATCCAGCCAGGTAGACTGGCAGTAAGGCAGCGACGCACTTTCCGAAGGACCAGAGAACTGACACGGCATGTTTCCCCGCGGAGTCTTGAGGCAGAGGCAAATCCGCAGCCTCCGGAGAGGCACCCGCTCTCGGCCCCGCATCATCAAATGACATCGGCTCTTTATGCATCAAATCCTGACTACCGCGAGCGCTAGACAATAACAACCAAGCAATACAGCTCAAAACTAGCGGGTACTATACGCGTACGATTAAATATGATCAGAAAATATATTACAATTTGTCATTCTGCGGGAAAAAAACAGCACCAACGTCAGCTCCTTTGCAGCGGAAAGTTGTGGATTTGTAGTTTGCTAAAAGAAGGGCGTGTAGGGGCGTGTTTTAGCGGCTTCAGCCCTTCTCGATTCTTGTTAAAACCACAGCAAGAACCTTAAAATGTCTGGGTGTGGGATAACACATATTTCACGAAGATGCCTGGCTCAGACATTTACCAGTCACTGACTGAAGCCCCGTTATGTTGTGCTGTGCGCTACAGAAAATACTAAACGCTAAATCAGACAGTTAAAAGAGATTAAAAAAGAAAAGAAAATACTAGTAGCCTACTTTAAAAATATTTATCCTCCAGCACACCATTAAGCTGTCGCGTGGGTGGGTGTTTTATAGCACTGTCATGTGACAACCAATGCGGTGTGCTTTATAAAATCTCCCTTTTTTTTAATTAAGTATAAAACACACGAACATTTGTCAAAATTCGACTACATCTGCTAACGGGAAAGCTGCAGTGCATTCACTGATCTATATAAAGTCATTATAGATCAGTGAGGGGATTACAATCAAAACACACTAAATCCATTGCTGTCACCAAGTTTGTTAGAATTTGTTGGGTAGCAAAAAAAACAACACATCACCGAGTTTGTTGGTTCACAAAACCGCAACTGAGATTATGTAGCCTACTAATGCAACAGTTTCATAAATCAATAGCACTTTCTATTCAATAACACGCTTTCTACAATCACTCTGAGGTAATGTCAAGACCATAGACTGTAAAAGATCAATACCTAATACCAGCTACCACTGCAGTCTGCAACTATACCAGTGGTTCAAAACCCAGCATGAGACCCTGTAGGAGTCCTCAATGATTATACAACCATAAAAATAAGATTCAACTATTAGGAAAAATGTATAACTGTTAAAAATTTCAAACTCATCATTGACTGAGCTTCACACCATAGACTCAACTAAACTGACACTGAGATCTGAACACCATTTTATGTCGAACTGTTTCAGATTTAATTTGATCTATAGAACGGACTTCAGCTGAAACCCTTTAAATAATAAAAAAAGACCTTTTTTGCCTCAGTCACTATAAAGCTGCTTTGAATCTAAGTGCTAAATAAGGAGACCAATAGCCAACCTTGGCTTGAACACAATCTGCTGGTTGCAGACAGTTGGGTCTGAGCTTCATGTTTAGAAATCCATGAAATTCTGTAGTTTGAAAGCTTAAACTAAGACTTAATTGCCTAATCAGTAAATCCAGCGTGATTTAGCTCTAAAAAAACTTTACATGGCAGAAAAGGAAAAGCACTTAAATAGTAGACAAATGTATGATCGAATTGTTTCATGCATCCACAAGACTGCTTGTACAGATACACCCTTAGACTACTCGAATCATATAAACAAATTCAAATCAATAAGTCACCACAAAGGATTCTTTTAAACCAAAGAGATTTATTTTAGACATTAACAAAAAACGCTGAGCTGACAGGTCTGAGGAATGTCCAAAACAGTTCACATGGTCATGAAGACCAGGATGCTTCCTCCGCAGAACCAGGTGATGGAAAACCAAATCCTCATTCAGAGATGAAAGCAGGCCTCATAGATGGTGCTTGAGTGGAGCTTCAGTTGGGCTTCCAGCAGACTCGTGCTGAGGAGATCGAAGTGGAGGAGCACTCCCAGCTTCAGCGCACGGCGGCCGCTTTACTTGGACCTCTGCCTCATCTTTCGCCTCTTACGCTTCAGCCTAAAACCCAAACAAACATAGAACATTTCATGCTTTTTCCCAATGCAGGAGGGACAAAAAGAAAGCTCATTTGACAACTCACCTGCGCATGCGCTTCTTTCGCCACTAAAAGAAAGCACAATCATTAATATTTGAATTCATCAGGTAATTCAGACAAAGCATTTAAGGAGTACTGCACACGCGCATTAGCAACTAGCGCAATGGCTGCATTTTCGCCAAAATGCAAACCAGCATGGCTGGTTCGGAAAAATTAAATGCAAGAAACAACGGTATTAAACGTGACTTAATTGCTAATAGTGCCATTTAACAATGAAAAACAATCAATAAAACCAACATGCGGCAGCTGCAAATTCAACGTGGTCCTGCGAAACAACCGCCTTAGCAGGCTAACGTTAGCAGAGAAGGCCCAAACAAACTTAAACTGCGTGTGGCTATTCCACGGTCAAATAACTAAAGAAAATCGACATTAAAAGCAAAACGCTCATTTAAAAACCAATTAATAATTATCGCTTAAAAACTATTAAATGAATTTACCGTTAATGTGTAACGTTACTAACATCCTAGCCGCTAACAAGACTAGCCAGATAAGGACAAAACCATTTAACTTATACATGAAAGTTGAACTTACCTTCGCTCTCATGATGACAAGATAGTCCTGTAAATAAACAAGTAATGTTAGAAATAAAGCTGGATGGCACGTAAATAAGTCAGATTACGCTGGATTGTACGAGATGTTAACGCAAGACCAGCAGAGACCACTTCCTTACCTCGTCGAGCGATAACGACTTCAAGAGAACATCATGAGGAGGACGGGCTCTTTTATACGTCTGGATTGCGTCATTTTTCAGCGACGTGAAAGAAACGAATGCGATTGCACCTGTCAATAATCATCAAATTAACCCATCGCAAATTAACACACAAGCCCTGTTTATTAAACAAAATAATACAATTAAATTGAGATCTAATTTTTAAATACAACATGTATTATATTTAGATATATTTTTAATTATAACATATCAAATGCAGTGATATGCATAAAGAAACAATATATATATATATATATATATATATATATATATATATATATATATATATATATACACACACACACACACACACACACACACACGGACAGAACTCTTTACTGCCCTTGTACTTTAAAAAGCCTTTTACATGTGAATTAAACGTAGTACAATAGTCTTCTTCATCATCACAGTAATGCAAGCAGGACTTTTGGGACACACACGGTCATGCCTTATATGCACTATTGCATCCTTCTCATGGGAATTTAATAATTTTTAAAACAAAAAAGAGATTTAACGCAAATTAACACACAAGCCCTGTTTATTAAACAAAATAATACAATTAAATTGAGATCTAATTTTTAAATACAATCTTAAAAAAAATCTCTTTTTTGGCTTTTGCTATTTGTAAAAGAAAACGTGCCTAATTATGCACACCTGAATATAAGGCGTTTTTCATTTCCAGTCTTCATGGACAAAATTAATAATAGTTTACTAAGATTAATGTGGTTTGGAATTGATAGAATGAAGAAAAAATTCTGCACGTACTGCACATTAAATTTAAACAATACCCATTCTTGTTTTAGGACAAATTTGATTAACTTTTTTGATCCACCTCAAATGTTGACACCCCTAATATATAAAAGGAATATAATAATATATAAGGAATATAAAAATTGAATATAATAATAAATATATATTAGGGGCGTTGTAACAATATTATGTCACAATATTGCAATAAAAAAAATACAACAATATCTATCGTGGATAGTGACAATCTGATTCTATATTGTGTATAGTTCACCCAAAATGAAAATTTATATAAATATAATTTATACGTTTTCAGAGTTTTAGTGTCAGTACTACCCATAGACTGTAAAAAGAGGTACTACCATATATAATGTATAATGCAATGGGTGAACGCCTCCTGATAATGGCAAATGTCTTGTTACCAATAAAAAGTGGCCAAGATTATTTTATATATATCTAGTCAGTGACATAATTCTGTATTTTCAGCTTCAGAATCATGAATATTTTTATTCTGGTGTCATTAATGTTCTGTGCATTGGGTTACCAGCACAAAGCCCAAGCCTATTCATTTACACCCACAATGTATCATCAAACATTAACAGTATTTTTTTTTTAATTGCAATATCATTACATCCTGAGATCAGTATCTTGATATGTATTAATTTGTGACATAAGGCTATCGTTACACCCCTAATATATACATCTATATAAAATATTTTGAGTAATTTGATCCTCTCTTGGACAAATTCTAAATTATTTTCTAGTTATGAAAAAAACAACATGTTTTTAATTGTCTAAAATAGTAACTTGACGGTTTTGCCACAGCATTTAATCACCCAACTTAAAGTTTGAGTAAAAACAAATGAAATGTGTTGGCTCCAGAACAATGCAGATTTGACTAATATATTAATAGTAGTTTATATAAGACTGAATTTACAACCACTTCTCTACAAGGACAAGTTGGTTAAGTTATTGCAAGATAAATTCTCCCCAAAAAACGTATAATGTCATTGGTTTTGCAGATGCCAGCCACTTAGTTTGACATTTTTTTTATCTTCTGAGATTCAAACAACTTTTCCCTTTGGGGCCACTACTTATCACATGACTGCATTCTGATGGATCCATGCATCACAGTTGTTTAGAAGGTTTTCCGCAGGAGTAAAAAAAAAATTAAAATAGTAATATTTGAGTGCTTAAATTGAAACAAACCAGGCTCTGATCCATAAATTGGCTAATTAAATTTATTAGATATACGCTTACAAAATGGCAGGATAATTTGGTCAGTTCAGTCAAAAAAACCAAAAAAAAAAAACAATGGTTTCAGGATTCAGTCTAATAACCTGTAGGGAAGATCTACATTGAAACAATTTTATAGTTTGTGAAATACTAGAAAACGAATGCTTAAAATGTAATCTTAACAGAAATCAAAGCTGTTCGATAAACAGCGCTTCTATTGTAGTTGTTTGCTATATTCAAGTTGTGGTGAGGCAGTTACTGCTCCAAAGACTCATTACAGGTCATCAATACAAACTATGATCACTTCCCAAAAAACGAAACAAAAACTCAATCTTTAACAGATTTCAAACAGGGATCTCATTTGCATGGAGATGAATGGCACTTCACAGCAATGCTGCCTTAACAGTGCCACCATTACACTTTTATTGTTCATGATGGCTTGTACAATGACAGAGAGGGTCAAAAGAACCCCAGCAGTCGCCTCCTGTAAACACGGTTGGACAGTATCTGCCTGCTCATCGGTACACTCCTCTCTAAGAGCAGCCTCATTTAAAGACAACCAATTGCAAGTAAACTGCACAAACCCTGTAGCAGTCTTGTATATCTAATGAGGAGGTATTCAAAAAGACAGAAGGCTTGGCCCGAAGGCCTCTCAGTGGGGCAGGTCATAATTAGCTTTAACGGTTCAGTTCTTTGGGCTGTGCAGAGGCTCTGTCAGTCAGCTTGTTGGGCAGTGGGAGTCTATGCAGCAGCTTCGCTCTCAGCCTCCACGGGTTGTCCTGCAGCACTCTCCACATTTTTGGATGCCTGGGGGACAAGATTAATCATGTAAAAATGGTCAATGTATGTAAATTCTTTAAGGCAAGTCATTTCACTAGGCGGACATCTTTGGAGCGCAAATAAAGATCCTATTCACCAAGCTTACGATTAAACTTCATATTTGAAATCAATCACCAATAAAATCTGACAACTATAAAGTTTCTAAATGCTGATTTTTTTTTTCAGGTTGGACCAGCCAAGGCAAGAAGTGCACGTCTCAGAACACTGACTGTTTCTAACGGCAGCTGCAGTGATGCGATGACTTTACCTATTGGTGAGAGGCTCTATTATTTAGAAAGCAGGGTGTATTTCACCATATTCTCCCATTCATAGTAATATGAATAGTCAGTCTTTGTATATCTAAAGTCTCTGATATGGTTTCATATTCACAACAAAGTGCCATTACAAATTGTTTAAGCAGTTGTTGACACAACCAACCTTCTTTTTCTTCTTCTTCTGTGCCTTGCGGCTGGCTGAGCTTTGCAACAATGCCTGCGGAAAAAATAAAAATAAATACATCTCATTGTATAGACCAGATTTTCAAATGTTGTTGCCAAGGACCCCCACTAAAAATAGTAAAAAGAAATAGTACAAACAGATTAAATTAAACTCATGGTTCGAATAATATGTTTTTTCAGTCACGGATCGGATAATTTTTCGGGTAGTTTGACAATTTTGTATGTATGTGTACATTTTGTGTGAATGTTTAAGGAAACATGAAAGAGGAATCAAAGATGTATTATCAGATAGTGTGCACAATTATTTTCATAATTAGACAATTAGTCGTACTCTGTCTTTAAAATATATATATAATATATAAATATATTATTGAAAAAATTTGTTCCGTCAATAAAATTATGATTTCCAACCAGCCCATGGAAATCAGACTGAAAATGTCAAATTCTGTAGATAACATTACATATTTAGAATTTTTCATAGACTCCTTACAGCCCCTTGGGGTAAAACACACTAGTTCCCTGCATTTGAGTCTCTTACCTTGAGCTCTGGGTCTTGTACTTCAAACTCAGACTTGTAAAGCTCTGGTTCAAAAGGCCCATTGGTGATACGCAGAGGGCCGTTTGCCATTAGCATCACTGTGAATTTAAACTGCGCAACATATTCACCTTGAAAGAGAAAAAGAAGGCGATAGATGGTTTGACAAAGTGACCTAGTCATGCGGAAAAATGAGCTGGTTGCGCTTCTCAGAGCACCAGCGTGACAGGAAATAATGTTTTATTTGGATATAAAGAATTGTTGTAAAATTTTAGCTATCATCTTCATGCTTGGTTGTACATTTTACATATAGAAGTGAAATTAATACAGAGGCACTTGTGTCTCACCTTCCTTCTCATGCAGGACACTGAAGGGTTGAAGCAGCTCATGCTTGGCACACTCAACAACACCCAGCCGAGCTTTACTCTCATCCTCAAACGCCCTGATAGCACACAGGTATCAGACAACACAAGGACAAGGAGAGAGACCAAATGAAATGTGATGAACAACAGAGGTAAATAGTTTGTCTTGCACATGTTTGATTGGGAGGAAAATGCATATAAACAAAGTACATCAAGTTAAATGCATAAATGTAAAGCGACCTGGTCTAATATAATATTTATATAATGCATGCATATTATTTATTAATACATATACTGCTCAGTCAGGTCAGTTTTTTTTTTTAAAGATATTAATACTTTTAATAGTAAGAATACATTACATTGATAAAAAGTGATATTTATAATGTAACAAATTATTAAAACTGAATTCACTACAGGGATCATGTGACACTGAAGAGCAGAGTAATGACTTTTTAACTAAATTGAACAATTGATAATTTAGCAAAAGGAGAAAGAAAAGAGACTTAATTTTACACTCTAGTAACATTTAAGAACATGAAATAAAGAAACCCTGACATTCAATTTGAAAGTGATGCATCTTTTCGATCTTTTACATTTGCATTACTGAACTACGGAGAAACAAATCAAGTCATTTAATGGACTTTTGACAGCTCCAAGGCTGTTATGAAAATTACAGATCACATTTCCCTATTTTCTTTAGTTAAGTAGCTATTAAAAAACAATTTCGCTTTTCTAGCCAGGTTTACCTCTGTGATTTACCTCTTTGATAAAGGATTATTTAATTAAATTTTTAAGTGGTTGTCCTTAAAATAAGATACTCAAGTAGTGACAAAAAAAATTACCTCAGAGTAAACGGCATGGCATCAAATCGCCGCTCCACCTCACTGAAGAACACCCTGGAGGTCTTCATCTTTAGGCCATACTGCTTACTGGGGTCTCGCTTGTAAACGGTGGTCCTCTGCCCAGAGTCTCTAGCCTGCAGGGAGAAAGAGAGCGAGGTTATGACGTGTTAATTGTAGAAATTGAGGGAAAAGTGGCGCTAATACGAGTTTTCACCTTTCCCTCCCCAGTGCTAATGAGCACGTCCACAGCGTACACCTCATGCACTTCAAATTCTGCCTTCTCATGGTCCTTCCTTAGAGCAGACAAGGACAGAGAGCATTTAGCATAGAGGAACACTCAATCATTTTCCAAAACAATCTAGTGCTTCATCGTCCTGACCTCTGCTGGTCGGTGGGGTTTTGAATGATAGTCTTCTCTCCATCAATGACATGCTGCTTTAACTGATGAGACAGCATGCCTGTGAAGAGAGACGGAATGAATTTTAAAAACCACGCAATGATGCTTTAACAGTGAGTGAGTTCAGGTTATGTTTAGCTCACCCTCTATGGCCATGCATTTGAATGATTGGGCAATCTTGTTCCAGGCCTCTGTGACCTGAGTGTTCTGAGAGACAGAAAAACAGATGATGAAGAAAATAATAAAAACATTTTCATTTTCAAACATATTAATGACAAAGGTAAAATTACACTATTTACACTTTTCAAGAAAATGTTATAAGCAGTTATTTACATGACCAGACTGATTCTATTTTACCTGATTCCCAGGCTTAACCAGCCGAAGAGCAGCTTCTGCACACAAGTAGGCAGCTTTGATCACATCCGCTTTCCGTCCAGTCACAGGATTGTCCTAGAAGAACAGCAAAATTATATGTTAGTGCACGTTGAAACTAGGGGTGTAACGGTACATGTATTCGTATTGAACCGTTTCGGCTCGAGGCTTCCGGTTCGGTACGCATACAAACCGAACGATTGCTTGGACCATTTTTCCTGCCGGCAAAATTCGTGCTGACGCGGCCAACACAACGTTGCGCAACATCAAATGCAAGCGTAATGAAAGCAGAACGAAACTGCGCTACTCGTTATGTGCTTCACGGATCGTTTATCAGTTCGGACCAGCAACATCTGTGCAGCGCGAGCCGATCTTGATCAAGCAACACTGTTACCACACAGCGCTAAGAGATCCGGTAAAGAACACATTTAAATTCGCCACTGAGGTAATAACATCGCTGCGAGATCTAGTGAGAAGCATTCACATTTCTCCGTTATTAACCGTAGATCTCTATTAGATCAAACAGCGCTGTCATGGAAACCAGGAGAAACATTGTGCCGTGAATGAACTAGTAATACTTTCGTCCACAGACCAGCAACATTCACCATGGATTTAATATAGTAACACTAACTGGAACCAGTTTGGCTGGAATGGTGAAATGCTTTCAAGTACTTCACACATCTTTTTCCAGCTCTTCAAAATTCAAATATTATATAAATAAATATATATGTAAATGTTATTTTTAATGTGATGACCAAAACATTATTTGTTCATCCTTCAAAGATGACCCCCATTTATAAACCTGAAAGTTTCAAGATCTAGGAAAACTCACACTTATTTAAAAATATTTTTTCTTTAAACAAATAGGAAATTTCTCTGGCATTTCTTTCTTTTTGCTGTATCGAAAACGTACCGAACCGTGACTTTAAAACCGAGGTACGTACCGAACCGTGATTTTTGTGTACCGTTACACCCCTAGTTGAAACAGAATGTGGCATCCACAAAGAAGAGAGACATACCTTGGTTGCGCCAACTACAAAGCTGTGAGCAACGTTGGAGATGAAGCCATCCACATGCACTCCAAGGTCACTGTGTAAAAACAGAATGCAGTATTGAGGAAATGTTCTGAAAAACAGATGAACATATACATACATGTACACAAAAGCAGAAATAACACACACATTTTAACCAAGTCACCGTCTTTAAGCGTATAGTCTGGATCGCTCTTTATTGGTGAGAAGTGGCACACACAGTTGTTCACAGACACACAGGTGGGAAAGGCAATCCCTGTCACACAAGAAGAATACCACATTTATAATTACAATAAATACATTTTCTAAATTTTTTTAATATATGATATGTATGTATATTTGGAGAAACACTTGAGGTTTCAGAAACATTCTTACCTTTCTTTATTTCTTTTTCCTTCTTGAAGACCTTGCCCGTTTCCGCAGTGATGAAAGCGTCTCCTTTCTCACACAGACTGAGGACAGACAAACCAGGCTTGGCTGCTTCGATGACAGTCTTCAAAGCCTCTGAGGGGAAAGATTTCACATGAAATAACAAAGTTTCCCACCCAAAGGATTTGGAAACGCTAGCTAAAGCACTGTGACAAGGTCTGAAGAACGAGATCAATACACATTAAATCTGTTAGCACTTCTAAAAGGAATCGTGACAAACAAATAGAAGACTGATGACATTTCCTGAAGCTTTCTCAGCACCTTACCATAAATTTTACTTGAAGACAATACTTAACACTATCGACACACTTTTTTTTTTACATTACGATCTATCTATCCACACAGACGACTGTAAACTCTACAGGAGATACGCAGAATCACAGGGTCAGACGCCACTCACTCTCATTCTAAGGAACAAGATTCAATGAAAGTGAATGGAGACTAAGGCTGTCAGTCACCTAGCCTACATTCTGTCAAACATTTTCTTTTCGGGTTCATAGTCATACAGATTTAGAGCAACATGAGCGTGAGTAAAAATGAAAGAATTAAACTTTCTGGGCAATCACTGTGTGTCCCTAAGTTACAACTAAAGCTAACTGGCTAACCCGCTAGCCGAATATTTAATAATATAAAATAACGCAGTTAAGATTACAAAACATAGGGTGCTGAAGCTAGTCGATACGATTGCAAGTTAACGTTACGTCGAGTCAAATAAACTGAAATGACTGGCATCGATGGCAATCTCACTACAGCTCGCAGACACATGGCCGAGCGCGGAGCTGAACCCCAGCTCGGTCAAATTCAACCCTTAATCTCGCATAAAGATAGTTAGTGCTACAGAATCATCCTCACGGTTTGCTATGTCGGCCCCCATCTTGTACTTGGTGACCACCAAGTCATCAGCAACGGTCTGCTCTTGCTGTTCGTCGTCTCCTGACATGCTTGTCAGTGTTGGGATTCAAGAGGAGCTCGTAGTTGTAACTTTTTCCCTCGCTTCGCTTGTAGAATGATGGAGCACGCACAGCACGCTTCAGGTCTCACAGCCTGCGCCACCAGGCAGCAGCCGTGGAAACACGCAAGATGGCCGCTTACTGCCCTGATCTTCAAAATAAAAGTCACAAACATGCGGACACACTGATAGCAGACATTCTCTGATGATAGTGACCTCTGCGGGAACTAGATGAAATATTAATAGTAGGCCTTATATCGCATAATTTTCTAGTTTGGGATTTTACAATACCATATAAAATTGTTCATGTTACACAAAACAATTTGCACACATTCTCGGCTTTAATGTCTAACCACAGCAGTCAACTCTCATTGAAATTTTAGTAGCATCATCAATACTTTTTATTCTGAAAATGTTTCAAATGTACACTGTAAAAAATAAATAAATACATTTGTAAATAAAACAAAAGATTTTTAATGTATGTTTTACAAGAAAATATTGTTTCAGTCTTTCTAGGACAAAATTGTACATTCAATTCAATGTTACTTGCTGTTTCATTAATTGTATTTCTTTGTGAAATTAATAGCTGATTTCTAATTTCTGTGTGAAAATTGTTTTGTGTCAGATTTTTTTAAATAAAGTAATTTTTTTTCCATTTTTTAATGAAACATTTCAAATAAAATGACCTACGCTTGTTTGACATTGGTGATAGCAAAGTCTTTATGTATAATATGTGAACAATTAACTATGGGAGACAATAAATGTAAGTACTCAAGTGAAAATGATTTTATTTATTCAGAAAATCAATATACAATTTATACAACAGTTTTTGTTTTTGAAAAAAAATTGTTCCTCATCAAGTAAACAAAAATCATCTTGAAAAAACAAACTTTAATCTGTATACAAAACCACAGGATTTGGACTTCAGAGACAAACAAATAGAGGTAGGCCAATCTTCAACAAGACATTTCATATTATTATAAAGCTTATTTTGTCGGCACATAAGCATAAATTCATGCGTTCAAATACTGAACACATGGTAGATATACATCGTTAGAAACATCCTAGTTATCCCAGTCCATTCTGTTTCCATCGTTCATCCATCACATTGTTTCTGTTAGTAAGTTGAGGTCAATAATTACGTGCATACAGCGTCCTGCTTGTGGAATAATCTGCTGTGCCAGTAGTCTGGGTTGTCAAATGAAGTGTTTTGAGCCTCCACTCCAGTACACACTTTTATGAAGGATCTGAGACCAGGATTTTGTGACTCCTCTCCCACAACAGGCCTTCCATTCAGCGGAATGTTCTGATAATCAGCCTGATCCCCATCCTCAGATGCCTCCATGTCCACATATTCACTGTGCTGTGTAGTGCAACCAGAATCCTCATGTTTTGCAGTCAACCTTGGTAGATTGCTTACATTCTGGTAAATTGCTTCTTTGACGCCACTCTCCACCTCATCCGGACTGCTCGCTGTGCTCTCCCCTGCTACGTTTTGCTGGTGTATGTCTGCACGTATGTCCATGTATTCATACTCAACCACCGCTTCTTGTGGCTGCTGCTCCTCTGAGGGTTTGTCCTCTATAGCGCTGATCTCAGATTGACTCCCGCCAGTACATGTTACTGTTTCGTCCCGACCGTTTTTACAAGCAGCAGACTCCAGGCTGTCCCCTTCAGGGGGAGTAGTGGCCTTATCTGACTGTTCGGTTTGTGTTGAGTCAGCGTCTCTCTTCTGTGGTAAAATGTTGCATGTGTAAGGAGGAGAAGCAAGGGAAGATGGTTTGCTCAGTGCAGACAAAGCATCACCGCTCTCTGTAGCTGAAGTAGAAAGCCGAGGGGGCTCTTTGTTCATTAGCTCGTACTCTTGTGCGATGTCTGTTTTCGGGGGCGAGAGAGCACTCTTGGAGTTACTGGATATCCTTGTGTGAGAAACAGAGCTTCTGGAACCTAAATGAGAAAATATGTGTCATTAAAATGCACAGCTGAGTCCCAAAAACCACGTACACACTGCAGCTAGTCGGATGTCATTTCGCCGTTTAGTGCTTAACACCCAGTTCAGTCATTTACAGGAGTTTAAATACATCACGTGCATTTGTCTCACTTCTGTATGCATAGTGCAAAAAATCACAGGAAAAGAGGTACAAGCCTCGATTGCTAGTTCTTGCTAGAAAAAAACAGCAATAAAGAACAAGCCCATAATAAACTGAAATAAATCCAAATGCTTTATATTGAAAAAAGACCAAAATGTTCAAATTTTTGGCAGTGGTTATGTTAAAATTGCAGAACAGAACAAATCTTTGGTCGCTGTAATATTACTATGATCAAAAATTGCGGATACCAAACACATAAGACGGCAGAATTTTGCTATGGTTACAATGGTGTCAGTGATCGCATTTTTGGGAATTAGTCGTATTCCATACACACACAGAATGATAATTTAGAGAATTCACTCATGTATTTAAAGCAGTTGTCACTCCAGAAATTGTACAGTGTGTACATGGCAAGTAATACATTTGAGATCAATATTGTTTTACCTCTCTCTGTGGGAAGCACATAACCATAATGGTCCTCATCTACGCCCTCCAGACCTGGAGAGAATGGATCTGACGTCACAGACACACCATTGGACATGTAGGCACTGTCCATACGACTACGACCTCTGCGAAGACTGCCTGTTTGAGAAGTAAGTTCAGCCATTTCAATGTCCACCATGGTCCCCCTGCCCTCTGAGCACTCCGAATCTGTCCTCACTGAGCCAGTTTTCCTCCTCTGGGCTCTCATCTGGGTGGAATCAATGCAAGTATATCAGTTCACATTCTGTATTTATTTGTGAAATGTTTATTATTATTATTTTAGAGCTTTATTTAATCCCTTGGGGCAGGCAGTTAGTTCCATCTAATGTGGTGCTTCACATATATAGACAACATTTAATATACATATATACAAATACTGTAATATATAGATATACAGTGCAAAGCTTAAAAAAAATTATTAATATATTAAAATAACAATCTAAATTAAAAGACAATCAATATGTAAACTGAAATCATTTTGTCATTATCGCAGGAGAAATACTGGAAATATTGAATATTGTGTTGGACAACATAGGACCTTCAATCTTTGAAGATTGAGAACCAGTCAGTATTTTTTAGATAAAGTATTTTGCTCCAGGACAGTAACATGCTATGACATGTTTCATAACACAAGTAATATAAAAGCCTATTATGCAAATTTTGTACTATTCTTTAACACTATGGGTCTTTACACAAGAAAATATATATGTCTGCCTTTATATTTTAGGAAAGGGGCATCAAAATGTTTGAAAACTCCTGATGTCCAGACATATAACAAAACGGTTATTTAAGATGAAAGCTTGTAGTATCAAGTCAACATGATATATAAGCTGACCTGTCTAAGGTCGTCTCCTGGGCCAGGGGTCATAGGGAGATAACCTATAGTTGTTGTGTGTTCTGAGGTGCCCTAATGAGAGAGCGAGAGAGAGACAGAGAGTGAGAAGGGAATAATTGTGCAGTTTCTATTCATACCCAGGACATGTTATTTTATTACTATTAGTTCTATTCAGAGAAGAATAACAAACATACACTATATTTCAAAGTTTTAGGGTCAGTACAAATGGGGTATTTTTTGTTTTGTTTTTAATTGATACTTTTATTCAGCAGAAATGCATTAAAAGTAAAGACATTTATAGTGTTACAAAGGATTTCTATTTCAAATAAATGCTGTTATTTTGAACTTTCTATTCCTCAAATAATCATAAAAAATACAAAAATATTATGCAGCTAAACCTTTCAACTTAATAAAAAAAAACGTTTCCTGAGCACAAAATCAGCAATAATTATTGAAGGATCATGTGACACTAAAGACTGGAGTAATGTCTACTAGATATCCTGCTTTGCCATCACATGAATAAAATCAAATATTTGTATATACTAATATAGAAAACAATATTAGAACATTTTTACATTACAGTTTTACTGTATTTTGATTAAATAAATTCAGATATGCAAATAAATCCCGAGACTTCTTTAAAAAAAAATCTTACTGACCCCAAACTTTTGAACGATAGTGTAAACATGATAGAAATGTTGGACATCTCACCCTGTAGGAGGCCATACGTAGGCGAGAATGACTTCTAGTTGGTGATAGCTGAAGGGGAGGAGTATTAAAGCCATCCTGCAATATCTCATCATCATCATCTTCCTCCAAGTCTGCCTCTAATTGAGTGCCTTTGACACGTTGGTGGCTTTCCTCTGAACCAGTGCAATTTTGAGCAGGCTACATTATGGCACAGAAAACACTTAAATCAGTCACAAAATGATTTCTAGTGCCTATATTTGACCACTTGCAAAGAAAATCCTGGTTTCTTACTTTCACCACAAGGTATCGTGGTGGATCCCTTGCCATTCTTGTAAATTCATTGGCCAGTTCTTTAAATGTAGGCCTTACATTTTCATCAATCATCCAGCCTAGGGAAAGGTGGGGAATAAAAAGTCTTTATAAGGACCTTCAATGAATTCAAAGTGCATTAAATCATTGCTCAAACGCATCAAGCATCCGCCTTACACTTGACCATGACCATGTAGACATCTATGGTGCAGATCTGTGGTTGAGCCAGCCGCTCTCCTTTCTCCAGTAAACCTGGCACATCATGAGGATGCATATTTGCGTATGGCTCTGCTCCATATGACATCATCTCCCATACAGTCACACCTGAAATAAATAAGAAGAACATTCACTCAGATAAACTTCTAAACAACTAAAAGCTGATATTCAACAGTGCTGAGACTCACCATAGCTCCACACATCACTCTGATGAGTGTATCTTCTGAAGAGGATACTCTCTAATGCCATCCATTTAATTGGCGTCTGAAAAAAGAGGCAACAGATGATGCCTTTTTAGTAAACCTCTTTCTCATATACATCATTTTATAATAATTTTATTCATATTTAAAAATATATAGACTAACAATGAATAGTTTGGGGCCAGAAATATTTTTTTAAGGAAATTTATATTTTTATTTAGCAAGTCTGCGAATTGATAAATTGATCAAAAGTGACAATAAAGACTTTTACATTTCTAATTCAAAACGAATTCAAATAACTGCT